TCTATCTATCTATCTATCTATCTATCTATCTATCTATCTATCTATCTATCTGCCTGTCTACCTGTCTCTCTGTCTTTCTGTCTGCCTGCCTCTCTGTCTGTCTGTCTATCTATCTACATATCTACTTACCTACCTACCCATCTACCTATCCATCCATGCTTCTAAAGCCTTTTGTTGGACCTTGGCCGCTTTTTCAGTTTCTTGATCTTTTTACACAGTTCCCGTCCACGGACGGGGGATCAGCGCGTAGCAAGGCTGCTACCTGCACACAGGACAACACAAAACACCGAATAAAGACGAATACCTTGCCTTGAGTGGGATTCGAAACCACGAACCCAATGATTGAGCAGACGAAGAAAATTCATACCTCAGACCGCGAGGCCAATATGACCGGCTGTCTGAAACACTTATTTAATTACTTACTTACTTACTTACGGAGCTGAGCACTTCTTGAGGAGAATCAAAATCTGCACCTACTCAAGAATTTCCCAGCATTTTATGGAACCCGAAGGATCATTACCTTGTACACAAGAGCCTTCCAGTGGTCCCTATCGAGAGCCAGATCAATCCAATCTATACCATCTCATCCTATCTCTCTAAGATCCATTTTAATATTAATATTGGCCTTCTCAGTGATTTCTTTCCTTCTTACTTTCCCACCGATATCCTACATGCATTCCTTTTCTTTCCATTAGTGCTACATGCCCTGCCCACCTATAAAATACAAATACAGAACTATAGCCACACCACCTGCTTATTCATTCATTCATTCATTATTGGAGGGTTTGCATTTCCCCATGCACCGCGACCAGTTGTTGATCTATTGTACGTCCCCCTTTGATATTCTACCAGTCGCCATACCCTTCCGGTACTGGTGCTCGCTATCAGCCCAGTTCAGCCAGCGAGTTCGGCCCCTCTACTGGCAGTGGTACCTGATACTTCCCCATCTACCGGGGGCATTGGAAACTACTTGGGCCGGAAACTTTTTTACTTAATTTTGCTCAGAGGTCTCCTAGAGACATGAGGATCTTTTACGTGCCGTAAATCTACGACACGGGTCCCACGGCTTAAAGCCCCTCCCGGAGGACTTGTTCCCTGAATTTTTCCGCCCTTAGAAATTCCATGACCTCCGCCGGGTTTGAACCCGCGTACCTTGAGTCATGAGGTTTGGAAAGTAGCCCCTAGACTACGGAGGCCGCTTACCACCTGCTTATATGACCATGAAAGGTGATTTCCCAACCGAAGGGTAGAAAAGAAATAGAGTATGATTGAAAACAAAACGCCGAGGAGAATATTTGGACGTCAGAGAAACAGAGACACTAATCAGAGAATGAAGAGAAGTACATATTTAAGAGCTTCAGTCTGACCTCTACACACAGTGTTCTTAGGGTCACATAAATTAAGACGGACGCAGCATACACCATGTAAGTGGATAGGATGAGAATTGCATATGAATACAATTTTACACTGAAAGCAACAAGCAAATAATTCACATAGAAAAGCGGGATGTAAGTTGGCGGTGACATTAATATGAATCATAGAGTAATGAGGTATGAGGCTTTGGATTGGACTGGACTGAGTAGGATGAGAAATTGTGAAAAAGGCCGCGCCATAGCCCAAGCGGTTAGTCGCTGGCTTCCCACCGCGGCGGCCCGTGTTCAAACCCTGGTCTGGTCAAGTGGGTTTTGTGGTGGACAAAGTGGCGCTGGGGTAGGTTTTCTCCTAGTACATCGGTTTCCCCTGTCAACCTTCATTCCACCAAATTCTCCATCATCATAATCACCCGTGGCAGGCTACAATAGGCCAATCAGTGGCCGCCGTGCCGAGTGGACCCAGTTGGACTCCACCCGCCACTAAGCGAATTAAAAAAAAAAAGTGAAATTGTCAGAGCGATGATTATGAAAAGTCCTTTATTCTGGGATATAACCGCGTATAGTGCTTTTAAAATCAATTGACTATTTGGAGGACTTCTGACAGATATTCGCGAAATTTGATATTTAGAAGTTTTACTGAAATTTCCCAATAAAACGAAATTTATGTTAATATCAGACAAAGTACCGACATTAAACCTTCTTATTGTGCATGTATCGAGCATAATTTTTATAATTATTAAAGATATTTTTCTGTGAATACACAATTTTTCTCCTTCCCAAGGACATATTCTTTTACTATCCACAGCTCTCGATTGGAATATTCTTCATCTTTGAGGTTTCTGCTTTGCTTGCCCTCCCTAATCCCATCCTTCCATGTGTTGGCTGGTCTGCCTAGCCAACTTTTCCTTGTGGGTTCCTTTCTGCAACTTGTCTTGCAGTTCTGCAGTCCTGCACTCGCATGGCGTGCCCATCTTATCGTAAATATTGTTCTGCTTCCTGTAATATGTGTGTCTTCATTCGCAATTTTGTTCCTTGAGTGCGTTCTACAGCCATATCGTGGAGGGGAGATTTGCGCGACCCAATGGCCCTAAGAGCTACGATAGCGGAAGCGAAGCTCCTGGTAGGACCAGACAGGTGAAAGGGTAGTGGCCAGACGAAGCCCAGCCCCTGTCCCTCCATGCTGAGGGCTGGGTGTGAGTTTACGATACCAGCCCGGAATAATTTACTTTGACGAAATCATGGAGAAGACGAACACCTACACAGGGTTGTAACACAGGTAAAGGAAAAGATTAGCTTGTTGACATCATTATATAAAAGGGAAAATATGCATATAATTCCGAACATGTATATTTAAAAATTAACAATCATATTCCTAGCACACTCGAAGGTTACCGAAATCTGCTATTCTCGACAATAATTAACGGAACTGACTGGTGCAATACGGCTCTAGATTTGTAGTCGGGGTATTCCTGGTTCGAATCTCGTCAGTGCCGCCAGCTATCGCGACTCAGTTAGCTCAGTTGTTTTAGCGACGAAATACGAGCTGGACGGCCGGGGTTTGGTTTCCGGCAGGGAAAAGTTTTTTCTTTACCATGTCATCCAGACCGGCCCTGAGGTCCACCCAGCTTCTTGTCCAGTGGGTACAAGGGACTCTACCCCCGGGGGTAAAGCAGGCAAGGAGAGGAGCTGACCACTCAGCCTCCATCTAGTTCCAAGGTCAGGAATGGTGAAGCTGCACCTCCATACGTCTTCATGACCTGGTGCTTAAATAATTAAGTGCAGAGATAACTTTAACATTTTACTTTCTTATCACCCAATCAGAGGCTTGGATAGTACCCCCATTATTTCAAAATAGTTTCGTTCTATACCTCTAGTCGTCCTAATACTCAACGCTATGCAGTCTAGATATTTACAGCGGCAGCAAATAAAGTACAAGCAGCTGATAATGATTAATAGAAGCTTCTAGCAACCTGAATTTGTACATCTACACGTAGAGTGCGATCGCCTTACAGCTCCCCAAATATGTTGAGCCGCTGAGACGGAAGAAGGTGACGCTCCAACCTCAGAGACTGGACCTGTTACATTGGAATAGACAAATCTGTACACAAACATATTGTGCAAAAGAGCCTGCCCAAACTAAAGCAGTTGCTGGCAATTCTTCCTGTTGTCTTCGTCGTCGTGAGGAGAATGGTCAAACCGGACGCCGGTTTCGTCGTTACTAAAAACAAGAACACGAATCAAAACACTGATTGTTTACTGAAGAGACATTTGAATGAAATAGACGCTAGGCTTGAGCATTATTGTCTAAAATCCTTCAGACACTAAACCGGAGTGTCAAATTTCCAGTTTTAAGTCTACCCTGTTTCTGAAAGAGGAGTTTAACGTCTCAGCGTAAACTGTAAACTTTTTTACGCTGGTATCAGAAATGTATGCATAACAAGAGAGAATATGTCCAGCGGCTTCTGTAAATACGAAATTTGTTAGGATACAGACTTGGCGAGCCCACGGTCTGTCGGAGTTTTTTGATACGGCTGAACGGGAGGAACTCTAATTTCTTCCGTTTAAGCGGCTCAGCTTCTTACGGGGAACCATAAGATGATTACGCTGTATGTAAATGTAAATGTTATGGGGCGTGCCGTTACAAGCGTTACGTTTCTATAATTTGTCTCCCCATGACAATAACAAACCGAAATTTGGTTCATGAGAAAATTAAGAGCATATTGAACCCAGGCAAAGCTTGCTGCCATTCAGACCAGAACCATTTATCTTTTCGTTTCTCGTCTAAAAATGTAAAAATTAAAATAAACAAAACTATAATTTTGCCTGTAATTCTGTATGGGTTCGAAACTTGGTCCCTAACATTAAGAGGAATCGTGTTTGAGAACAAGTTGCTGAGGAGAATATTTGGACGGAAGAGGAATGTGGTAGGAGGTTGGAGAAAATTACATAATGAGGAGCTTCATAAGCTATATTTTTCGCCAAAGTTAATCAGAATGATCAAGTCAAGGAGGATAGGATAGGAAGTGCATGTAGCATACATGGGGAGAAGAGACATGCATATAGGACTTTGCCGGTAAAGCCAGAAGAAAGAATCACTTTGAAGGCCTATACTTAGGCCGGTGTACGATATTAAAACGTGTCTCATGAGAATAGATAGGATGACATGGACCGGATTAATCTGGCTGAGGATATGGACTAGTGGAGGGCTCTTGTGAACACGGTAACAAACTTTCGGGCTCCGTAAAACGATTCTTGAGTTCCTGAACGACGGGTGGCTTCTCAAGAAGGGCTCAGCTGCATGGAGTTACTTCAATATTGTCTACCATCTACCTTCTTTTGGAGACTTCGCAACGAAGAGTCGCAAAAGTTCTCATGTTCGCTTCGCCATGTGTGCATAATCTCTCGGTTCGTCTGTTCACCAGACTGTACGTAAAACAAGGAGAACCGCTGAACGGATTTCAGCGAAATTCGATAATGACGTGTGTGACAAACATATATGAACATATTTCAGTTCCGGTTATTATGGGACGGACGTATTTTACACAAGGGCCTACGTGCGATTGCTCGCATTTTATGCATGACTCGCTAAATATTTGCCAGAACGGTAAATATTTCTTCGAAACTTCGTGGATATAAACAAACCACACCTTTTATGCCCAGTGTACTTCTTTGCATAAATGTTGTATTTCCACGCGATATAATCTCCTGATAAACAGAGACACTGAAAATACTAACAATCATAAGAGTGACCCTTTTCGAGTTAATTAAATTAAACCGGGAGAAGGAGCCAGATTTATCAAGTTATGCTTACATTTCCTAACGTGTTAAACATACCCGATTGTTATCTGTTAAACACTTTATTTCAGCGGCTTGTTTTGTGTTTTTATCCAAGCGTCATCCTTGGAAACTTGCGCAGTCTCGATTTTATTGTTCCTCGACTCTCCCACATTAAAAGCCTAATTCCGAAACAATGAAACATTAGATGTTTCGTAATACTCAGTGCGTGCTGGGCACATCGCACGAGCGCTATCTTCTCGGGGCACAATACAACAGAGACGAAGATGAAAGCATAGAATTTCGTGGTTCCAGCGGGAAAACAGCCTTCGTCCTATTTGCCAGTTGGTGCAAGGGCTCGCCCACTATGATCGATTCTCTTTAATGCTCTTCTGTAGTTTCTGGGTAATAGCTGAAATTTATCATTTATTTCGCATATTTGTCCTATGCATATGGGGGCCCATACACGTACGAGCCTGCCTCGCGAGTCCGACTCGGCTCGGGTTCTAATGAGCCAAACTCGTCCGTGTGTGGGTCGCCAGGCTTATACGTACGTATGTCCGGCTCCTCGCCGAGCCGGACTCGCGAGCCAGACTCGTACGTGTATGGGCCGCCTATGACAGATATAACTATAAACTCTCGCCGGTCACAGTAGCCGCGCGGACGCTGAGGTCGTGGGTTGGAATTCTGAATAGGGGCATGGATGTTTGTTGTGTTTGGTACGTAATGTCAGAAGTTTGTATAGGACAGGTTCGCTCAGGGCAGTGGCGGAGAAAACTCAAAATATAGGTTAGATTTAGCGGGAGTACAGAAGGTCAGATGGGATGGAGGTGGCATCGCACCGGCAGGCGAATATACACTTTTCTATGGAAAGGGGAATGAAAGTCACTTTTTTTTTGTATATAAGAGAATCATATTAGTGATATGACATCATATATAATACTAAAAGGTCACTTATATGACATCATCGTTATGAATGTTCGAGCCCCAAAAGAAGATAAAATTGATGACATAAAGGACAGGTTTTGGAAAGAATTAGAACATGTATTTCATAATTTCCCGAAGTATCATATGAAAATTTTTCTAGGATATTTCAATGCCAAAGTAGGGAGGGAAGACATTTTGAAACCATCAATTGGGAATGAGAGTTTGCATGAAATTAGTAATGATAACGGAGTTAGAGTAGTGAACTTCGAGACATCGAAAAATCTTACTGTCAAACATACAATGTTCCCTCATCGTAACATCCATAAATTTACTTGGACGTCGCCTGATGGGAAGATGCACAACCAAATTGACCATATGTTGATAGCTAGTAGGCTGCATTCATATATACTTGATGTCTGATCATTCAGGGTAGCAGATTGTGCTACTGACCACTACCTGCTGGTGGAAAGGGTTAGGGAAAGACTGGCAGCGAGCAAACAAACAATTCACAGAGCTCATATGGAGAGGTTCAATCTCAAGAAGTTAAACGAGGTAGAGGATAAAGGAGAGTATCGGATTCAAATCTCCAATAGATTTTCAGCTTTGAAAACTCAGACACCGATGTGAATATTAAGAGAGCTTGTACAACTATTAGAAAGAATATCAAAATTTCTGCCAAAAAGAGTCTAGGTTACTGTGAACTGAAGAAGCATAAGCCATGATTCATTGAAGAATGCTCAAAATTGTTAGTTAAAAGAAAGCAAGTCAAATTACAGTGGTTACAGGATCCAAGCGAAATAATTGGGGATAATGTGAACAATATAAAACATGAAACCAGCAGGCATTTCAGGAATAAAAAGAGGGAATATCTGAAAGACAAAATTGATGAGCTTGCAATGAACAGTAAGAACAGGAACATTAGAGACCTGTATAGAGGAATAAATGACTTTAAGAGAGGTTACCAACCTAGCAGTAACTTAGTGAAGGATGAGGATGGTGATGTGCTTGCAGATTCCCACAACATTTTGAAAAGGTGGAAGAACTACTTATCTCAGTTTCTGAATGTACATAGGGTTAGAGATGTTAGGCAGATAGAAATACATAGAGCTGAGTCTTAGTACTTCATCCTAGCCCTTTTTAATTTGAAATTGCTATTGCAAAATTGAAAAAGCATAAATCGCCAGGTAGTGATCAAATTCTGACAAAATTATTTCAAGAAGTAGACGAAATATTACGTTCTGAATTCCATAAGGCGGCTCACCGTGGCCGAGCGGTCTAAGGCATGTACTGTCTTCGCTCGGAAGCCGAGATCGTGGGCTCGAATCCCACACAACGCATGAATGCTTGGTGTGCGTATGAGTTTATTCGGTATTTGTGTTGTCCTGTGTTTAGGTAGAGGCCTTGCGACAAGCTGATCACCTGTCCAGTGAGTCCTACTGTATATAAAAATGATCAATGAAACAGAGAAATCAGCCTCATGTTCTAAAGTGGGAGCGAGGGAAAGAAAAAGGATCCATAAGCTAATTCAATTTGGCAAGAAGAAAAATTGTCTGATCAGTGGAAGGAGTCTATTAT